AATGGAACCGATGAGGAGACGGGAGGATACGAGCTTTGGGCTCTTTCCCGTAAGCACAATTAGGTAAGTATAATTAGGTAAGTACACACACACACACACACACAGGTACTATTGAAGTCATAAACTCAGTTGTTAACATGGCACGGGAGAGAAAATGTAGGAATTTGATTATGGGAGATTTTAATTATAAAGAGAGACTCATTCGGGGCAAGATTCCTAAATTGCGTACAAGGGAATTTCCTACACCAACATGTAATGGAACCAACGAGGGCCAGGGGTGGGGATGAGCCATCACTACTTGATCTAGTATACACAGATAATGTGTTGGATATTGAAAAAATTGAGTATGAACCACCAATTTGAAAGAGTGACCACTGTGTGTTGTTGGTGGAGTATATCATTGAAGATATTCTGCCTGAGGGTAGAGGCACAGAGGACATGAGGAGGAACTATCCGACGGGAGATTACATCAAAATGAATGAGCTTTTTGCAGTTATTGACTAGAGGACCTTATTTTACAACAAATCTGTACAAGAAATGTATGACATCTTTTGTAAGAAATATGGGAAGATAGTAGATTGCTGCATAACTGTCACCAAAGTAGGTGTAATTTATACCAGAGAGAAATGGTTTGATAATGAGTGTAAAAGAGCTAAGGAGTGGAGAGACAAATGCTGGAAAAGGTATAGGAGGAGAAAAAAACATAAATGCCTGGCAAACCTACAAAAGAGCAAGAAATGACTACCTAAGTAAAAGAAGAGAGGCAGAGAGAGACTATGAGAGGGACATCACCAGGAAGGCCAAAGAAAATCCCAAGCTTTTCCATAGCTTTATCAGAGGAGAACTGAAGGTAAAAGAACTAGTTTTAAGGCTAGAAAAAGGGGATGGAAGCATCACTGAGACGGATGAAGAGATCTGCAGAGAATTGAACAAGGAGTTTCAGTCAGTATTTACAGTAGAAAATACACCACCCCCTCAGATTGCAGAGATAGAAGCTCAAGGGCCGGTATTAGAGAGCATCAACCTTACAGCCACAGAGGTATGCAAAACGCTGATGGAGTTAGATGTTCATAAAGCTACAGGTCCTGACGACATATCCCCTCATGTACTTAAAAAATGCGCAAACTCAATATCAGTGGCACTAAGTATCATATTTAAAAAATCACTGGAGTCAGGGGAGATTCAAAGATGCTGGAAACAAACAAACGTGATACCTATCTTCAAAAAGGGAAGGAGGGATACGGCTCTGAACTATAGACCAGTTTCATTGACCAGCATAGTTTGCAAAGTTCTGGAGAAACTACTAAGGAAACATATCTCTCTTCACTTGGAATCCTTCAACATTTTGTCAGTGAGGCAACATGACTTCAGAGAAGGTAGATCAACAGTAACAAACTTATTAGAATTTTATGATGAGGTAAGCCGAATCTTACCGGAAAGAGAGGGCTGGGCAGATTGCATATTCCTAGACTTCTAGAAAGCTTTTGACACTGTTCCACATGGGAGACTTATTAGGAAGCTGCAAGCAATGGCTAGAATAGGTGGAAATGTTTTGGAATGGATTAAAACTTACTTAGAAGGAAGGGAACAGAGGGTTAGAGTAAGACACTCAGAGTCTGAATGGAGAAGAGTTAGTAGTGGAGTTCCACAGGGTTCAGTTTTAGGGCCACTTTTGTTCCTTGTATATGTAAATGACCTACCAGAGTCTGTAAATTCATTCATGAATATGTTTGCAGATGATGCAAATATTGTGAAGAAAGTAAAAAACGAGAACAATGGTAGAGAACTTCAGGAGGATCTAAATAATATGCATGAGTGGTCAGAAAAGTGGCTAATGAAATTCAATACTTCAAAATGTAAGGTAATGAGAATGGGTACAAGTGCAAGAAGGCCCAAGCTTGACTACTCGGTGGCTGGAGTACAACTTCAAGAACAGAAAATGAGAGAGATCTAGGAGTAAACATACTGGCAGATTTGTCTCCAGAAATACATATAAATGGCATAATAAGGGCAGCATATGCATTCTTATCAAATGTAAGGGTAGCCTTCAGGCACATGGACAAGGAAATGTTCAGAAATATTTATGTAACCTTTGTGAGGCCAAAACTCGAATATGCAGCCCCGTTTTGGAATCCGCACTTGAAAAAGCACATAGCTAAGCTTGAAAAAGTTCAAAGACATGCCACGAAACTGGTGGCAGAAATACGCAATCTCAGTTATGATGAGAGGCTGAGGGAATTAGACTTACCATCACTCGAAGCTAGAAGAGCGAGGGGGGGATATGGTGACAGTCTTTAAATTCCTTCATGGTTATGATAGAGTGAATAGGGATCGATATTTTGATATGGCTGGCTCTAGAACTAGAGGTCATAGTTTGAAGCTTCGTAAGAAAACTTCTTTGCAGGATGTAAGGAAATACTTTTTCAGTGTAAGAGTAGTTGATAATTGGAATTCACTAAGCGAGGAGGTAGTTAATGCTATCTCAATCCATAGTTTTAAGGACAGGTATGATAAGTATCACTAAGTCTAAAATGGAACCGATGAGGAGACGGGAAGATACGAGCTTTGGGCTCTTTCCCGTAAGTACAATTAGGTAATCACACACAGGCACACACACACACACACACACACACACACACACACACACACACATATATATATATATATATATATATACATATATATATATATATATATATATATATATATATATATATATATATATATATATATATAAAAAACCTACCTTTACATTTTCTGCCATCATGTGAGAACCTTCCTCCATCGTGTGTAGGTTGTTGGACTTCCATCCAGTCAGGTTGTTCAATCAGTCTTTAAGGCCAATCGCACCGTGTATGGGTACCCTAATAAAAGAAAGCCCCAAAGACGTTATACCTTTTCCAGGAAGGTGGAAAATAATAAATCCTCTCTCTCTCTCTCTCTCTCTCTCTCTCTCTCTCTCTCTCTCTCTCTCTCTCTCTCTCTCTCTCTCTCTCTCTCTCTACTCTCACTCTCTCTCTCTCTCTCAGGGAGAGGGTAAAAATGCTTCCTCCGTGTTCCCCTGCGCGTCGTAATGTCGACTAAGTTGGGCGCAGCAAGGAGACTGGGAATTTCCTTCTCTATATTTTCCTCCAGCATAGTCAAGAGAGTTTGTTTTGATTCAGTCACCCCTCTTATAAGGGGGAATATGGGTTTAGTGTATATATATATATATATATATATATATATATATATATATATATATATATATATATATATATATATATATATATATATATATATATATATATATATATATATATATATATATACACGTTCGCCCAGGTAACTGCATTCGCTCGGGCGACTGCGTGATTACTCTTGGTTCTGTAATGGTGCCCGCACTGTGAAGATCGCTTGTTGTTCTTTCGTTGTAGATTTCCAGATTTATTTACTATTTATTTTAAATTAGCCCTCATTATGGCCTCTAAGAAACTGAAGTGTTTGTGATAGTGACATTAAAAAGGCTAAGTGTAATATTGTGGAAATGAAAAACAAAATACTAGCTAAGCATGAGAAGGGTGTTTGTGTATCTGATCTTGTCATGCAGTATGACAAGGCAAAATCGACCATCTGTACAATTTCAAAGAATAAATAGGCATTCAGATAGAATGCATTCATTCCTAGCATAGCAGATATAGCTGTAAGGTTTGTTTCCCTTTTACACCTTTTGTGGTGTAGTTGGTAGCGCCTTGGCACAGTAATTATGTGTTGTAGGTTAGAGTCCCGGTCAGGGTAAAAATTATTCATGCTTTCATGTTTGGTAATGTGCTTATTTGATTATTGTTGGTCCCAAATAAGATTGAGATTAGAAATAAATGCAAAAACGAAGCCAGGAGTGAGGTTGGGGGAAACTGTAATATGAAAAGAGTGGCATTCAGGTGGAATGTGTTCATTCCTAGTATAGCAGATGTAGCTGTAAAAGTTTGTTTCCCATTTAATGCTTCTGTGGTGTAGTTAGTAGAGCCTTGACATGGTAATTATGTGTCCTAGGTTCAAGTCCTGGTTGGGTTGTAAATCATTCATATTTTCACATATGGTAATGTGTTTATTTGATTATTGTTGGTCCCAAATGAAATTGAGATTTGAATTAAATGCAAAAACGAAGCCACGAGTAAGGTTGGAGGATACTGTAATTTTAATAGAGTGGCATTCATAGAGAATGCATTCATTCCTAGTATAGCAGATATAGCTGTAAGGATTTTTCCATTTTCCATTTGACCTTCTGTGGCATAGTTGGTAGTGCCTTGGCACAATAACTATGTGTCCTAGGTTCAAGTCCCGGTCGGGGTAAATATTATTCATGTTTTCACATATGGCAATGTGCTTATTTGATCACTGTTGGTCCCAAAGGCTATTGAGATTTGAATTAAAGGTGAAAACATAGCTGTATGGTTTGTTTCTCATTTAGAGCTTTTATGGTGTAGTTGGTAGCACCTTGGAAGAGTAATTATGTATCCTAGGTTCAAGTCCCGGTCAGGGTTAAAATTATTCATATTTTCACATATGGCAATGTGCTTATTTGATTATTTTTGGTCCCAAATGATATTGAGATTTGAATTACATGCAAAAATGAAGCCACGAGTGAGTTTAAGGGAATCTGTAATATGAACAGAGTGATATTCAGAAAGAATGCGTTCATTCCTAGTATAGCAGATATAGCTGTAAGATTTGTTTCCCTTCTAAACCTTCTGTGGTGTAGATGGTAGCACCATGGCATGGATATTATGTGTCCTAGGTTCAAGTCCCCGTCGGGGTAAAAATTATTCATGTTTTCACATATGGTAATGTGCTTATTTGATTATTGTTAGTCCCAAATGAGATTGAGAATTGAAGTAAATGTGAAAACGAAGCCACGAGTGAGGTTGGGGGAAACTGTAATATGAACAGAGTGGTATTCAGATAGAATGCGTTCATTCCTAGTACAGCAGATATAGCTGTAAGGTTTGTTTCTCTTTTAGACCTTGTGTGGTGTAGTTGGTAGCACATTGGCATAGTAATTATGTGTCCTAGGTTCAAGTCCCAGTCGGGGTAACAATTATTCATGTTTTCACATATCGTAATGTGCTTATTTGATCATTGTTGGTCCCAAATGAGATTGAGATTTGAAGTAAATGTGAAAACGAAGCCACGAGTGAGGTTGGGGGAAACTGTAATATGAACAGAGTGGCATTCAGATAGAATGCGTTCATTCCTAGTATTGCAGATATAGCTGTAAGCCTTTTCCCTAATAATCCTTCTGTGGCATAGTTGGTAGTGCCTTGGCACAGTACTTATGTGTCCTATGTTCAAGTCCCAGTTGGGGTAAAAATTATTCATGTTTTCACATATGGTAATGTGCTTATATGATTATTGTTGGTCCCAAAGGAGATTGAGATTTAAATTAAATGCGAAAACATAGCTGTAAGGTTTGTTTCCCTTTTAGAGCTTCTGTGGTGTGGTTAGTAGCACCTTGGCACAGTAATTATGTGTCCTAGTTCAAGTCCCGGCCAGGGTTAAAATTATTCATATTTTCACATATGGTGGTCTGCTTAATTGTTTATTTTTGATCCCAAATGAGATTGAGATTTGAATTAAATGCAAAAACGAACCCAAGAGTGAGTTTGGGGGAAGCTGTAATATGAACAGAGTGGCATTATATAGAATACGTTCATTCCTAGTATAACAGATATAGTTGTAAGATTTGTTTCCCTTTTAGACCTTGTGTGTTGTAGCTGGTAGCGCCTTAGCATGGTTATTATGTGTCCTATGTTCAAGTCCCTGTCGGGGTAAATATTATTCATGTTTTCACATATAGTAATGTGCTTATTAGAATATTGTTGGTCCCAAATGAGGTTTAGATTTGAATTAAATGTGAAAACGAAGCCACGAGTGATGTTGTGGGAAACTGTATTATGAACAGAGTGGTATTCAGATAAAATGCATTCATTCCTAGTATAGCATATATGGCTGTAAGGTTTTTCCCTATTAGACCTTCTGTGGCATAGTTGGTATTGCTTTGGCACAGTAATTATGTGTCCAATGTTCAAGTCCCGTTTGGGGTAACAATATTCTTGTTTTCACATATGGCAATGTGCTCATTTGATCATTGTTGGTCCCAAATGAGATTGGATTTGAAATAAATGCAAAAACAGAGCCACGAGTGAGGTTGAGGGAAACTGTAACATGAACAGAGTGGCATTCAGTTAGAATGCGTTCATTTCTAGTACAGCAGATATAGCTGTAAGACTTGATTCCCAATTAGACCTTCTGTGGTGTAGTTGGTAGTGCCTTGATATGGCAATTATGTGTCCTAGGTTCAAGTCCCTGTCGGTGTGAAAATTATTCATGTTTTCACATATGGTAATGTGCTTATTTGATTATTGTTGGTCCTAAATGATATTGAGATTTGAATTAAATGTGAAAACGAAGCTACGAGTGAGGTTGGAGGAAACTGTAATATGAACTGAGTGGCATTTAGATAGAATGCGTTCATTCTTTGCATAACAGATATAGCAGGAAGGTTATTCCCCTTTAAACCTTCTGTGGCATAGTTGGTAGTGCCTTGGCACAGTAATTATGTGTCCTATGTTCATTTCCCGGTTGGGGCAAAATTTATTCATGTTTTCACATATGGTAATGTGCTTATTTGATAAGTGTTGGTCCCAAAGGAGATTGACATTTGAATTAAATGCAAAAACAAAGCTGTAAGGTTTGTTGCCCTTTTAGAGCTTCTGTGGTGTAGTTAGTAGCACCTTGGCACAGTAATTATGCATCCTAGGTTCAAGTCCCAGTCAGGGTTAAAATTATTCATATTTTCACATATCGTACTGTGCTTATTCTTATCTTTTTTTTTTAAGAGTGTGACACCAGAACAGGCAGAAACTGCCCTCATCAACAAAGGCCCGGGCACGAGAAACCACGACGAAGGAAAAGAAAAAGGTTATGGGCAAGGCAGAGATGAGGTAATGTCACACAAAGGAAAACGACAGACAGAAAAAAACAGTCAAAGTAAAGAGGACCCAGAGATATGGAGGACTAGGCTGCGAGATGACGACAGATCTGCTTTTTGAAGGATGAAAGGTCATAAGAATTAGCAAAAGACAGAAGGAGGAAGAGAGTTCCAGAGTCTGGAGGTAGATGGGAAGAAGCAGTTGCTGCACCAACCAATCTGCGAGCAACAAATCTCCACACAGTACCTGTGAGATGAGGCCACTTGGCGAGTATTACGCGGCCTCGGCAGTGGAGGAGGGATGCAACTCGCCAACTCATCAGAGCAGCGATGGAAGTAGTAGTGATAGAAAAGCGAAAGGGAAGATACCTTACGGCGAAGAGAGAGAGAATCCAGGTTAGAAGTAAGAGAAGGATCATCAATGAGTCTGACTGCCTTAGATTGAACCCTATCAAGAAGATAAGTAAAGGAAGAAGCACCCCAGATGTGTGAGTAGTATTCTAAGCAGGGGTGGATAAGACCTTTGTAAATTTTATGTAACTGCAGTGAGGAAAAGTAATAACGAAAACGAAACAAACCCCCCAATTTTTTGGATGCAGATTTAGAATTTGGATTATGTGATTCCTCCAAGACAAGTTAGAGGCTATATGGATTCCTAATATATTGATAGAGTTAAGAGAGTAAATTTCATTAGTTTCAAAGACAATAGGGTTATCAGGAGGAGAAGAAGATACAGAGATAGCCAAAAACTGTGTCTTGGAGGCATTGAATTTAACTAAATTTTGAGTGCCCCATTCAGATACTCTCTTCAAATCGGAGTTAAGAGTAGAAGAAAGAGTGATACGAGATTGATTACAAGTAACAGATGAAGGTTGTGAAGAAAAGGCAGAGGAAAAGTGAAGGGTAGAATCATCAGCAAAGGCATGAAGAAGAGAGGAAGATGGGGATTGTAGAAGATCATTGATGAAGAGAAGGAAGAGAGTAGGTGAAAGAACAGAGCCCTGTGGAACACCACTGGAAACAGAGAAAGGGCTAGATGTCGCGCCATCAACAACTACAGATATAGAACGGTCAGTAAGAAAACTGGAAATTAGAGAACAGAAAGAAGGGGTAAAGCCATAGGCAGGGAGTTTGGCCAACAGAGCCTTGTGCCAGACTCTGTCAAAAGCCTTAGAGATATCAAGGGCAACGACAAAGGATTCTCCATAGTTCCTCAGAGAAGATGACCATACATGAGTAAGATAGGACAGGAGATCACCAGTGGATCTTGCCTTGCGGAAGCCGTACTGGTGATCGGAGATAAGTGAGTTAGATTCAAGGCATTTCAAGAAATGAGCATTGAGCAAATTTTTGAAAACTTTAGCAATAGAGGAGGTTAGAGCAATAGGTCGGTAGTTAGAAGGAATAGAGCGGTCATCCTTCTTAGGAACAGGTTGAACTAGAGCATGCTTCCAAGATGAAGGATAGATACTGGTTGACAGAATGAGGCGAAAAAGACGGCAAAGCACGGGAGCCAGTTCATCTGCAAACTCCTTAAGGAACCTTGCAGGGATACCATCGAGACCAGATGCCTTGTTTGTCTTTAGTGAGCGAAGAACCTTATGAACTTTGCATGAAGAAAGGATAAGGGAGGGCATAGGGTTAGAGAGGGGAAAAGACTGAGGAACAGGTGTGCTGGAATCGTTGATAGAAGAGTTGGCAGAAAAATGAGAGCCAAAGAGAGTGGCTTTGTCAGTGGGAAAGCAAGCTATAGAACCATCAGAACGAATGAGAGGGGGCAAGCTTGAGTTACAGAATTTTTTGGAGAGGTTTTTGGCTAAGGACCAGAGGCATTTTTCAGTGGGAGAGGAGTTAAGGTCATCAACTTTCCTTCTTATAAAGGAAGCCTTAGATCTTCGAATCTGAGCTGTACAGCGATTCCTAGCTATAATAAAAGCAGAGCGAGTTAAATCGGAAGGAGAGGCTTGGTAAGATCGGTGAGCCTGATTCCTAGCCTGGATAGCCATGGAGCAGGCACGGTCAAACCAAAGTTTAGGAGGAGAGAAAGTTTTAGTAGAAGAGAGGATGTACGCCTCCATTCCCGCGGTCATGATCTTGGCAACATTTACAGCTACCCGATCAGGGTTGCGGGACCGAAAGCAGTAGTTATCCCATGGGAAGTCAAAGAGAAAGTTACGCAAATTTTCATATTGGGTTCGCTCGAAGTGCCAAAGGCGGCATTGAGTAGGAGGGATTGGTGGTGGGGGAGCGAAAATGGAAGAGACAGAGATCATGGAGTGGTCAGATTTACCAAGAGGGGAAAGCACAGAATAAGAGTAGTTTGAAGGGTTAGAAGTAAAAAATAGGTCAAGAGTGTTTGCAGCATGTTCGTGACGATCTGGAACGCGAGTAGGATGTTTGATAATTTGCTCCAGATCGTGAGTAATAGAGAAAGCAAGAGCCTCGCTTCCTCCCACATCAGTGTGAGAAGAATGAAGCCACTCACTGTGGTGTACATTGAAGTCTCCAATGTAAAGAACTTCGGCATGTGGGTGAGAAGATAGCAAGTACTCATGGCACGAGGAGAGATATTCAAAGAAATTCACAAACTCGTGGAGTTTGGAAAACAGTAGCAGAAGCAAAGAATGATAGTGGTAGTGGAGAGATAGACTTTTAGCCAGAGAACATCAAAGTCAGGAGATTCAAGGTCCATGAGCCTCACAGTAGGAGTGTTAATGTTGCAGTAAGCACAGACCCCATCTTTCGAACGAAAACGAGTATACAGATTATAGTGGGAGATTTGGAAAGGGTCAGTGGAAGCATGTATAGACAATTGGGTTTCAGATAGGAGGAGGAGGTTAGGGAGGAGAGTGCCAAAGTGCTGTTCCACAGACGAAAGATTAGAGTTCAGCCCACGAATGTTTGAATAGTGAAGAGTGAAAGAAGCAGATCTATTGGGAGGTGCAAGGTTAAGAGCAGAACCATTACTACCACCAGGCGTGTCTGCCCTCAAGCCAATGGTGGAGCCAACACGATCCCCAGAGATTCTTCGCACCCCACTATGCCGGGTACTGGGGGCCATTATTTGTGAACCTTCAATAAATAATGACAAACTGTGAGGAAA